GGCGGAGGTGCTTGTTCTGGATAGCTGTCCCATATTCGTAGCCAGTGCGATGCATCTTGGTATCCCGTGACAAACAGTTGGAAACTGCCTTTCTGAAAAAACGAGTTCAATTTTGTAGCTTGAAGTGCACGCAAGCAGAATCGCAGTAGCATTTCCTTGCGATTTGTCAGCACTCGTTTTGCGACGTTTTTGAGCTAGCATATGGCGGATATGTCTTCAAGACTTCACAGTCCATCTGGCCGACGCACACCCCACGCGAACATATTAAATTTCTGCGGGAAGGCTGGGATGACTCAGTTTTGTCACTGTTCTATAAGGTTGTCATGCGACAAGGAATGTTTTCGTATGCCCCAAAAAATTCTTGAAAATTTGCATTTAGCGGTCAGCAGTAGTTTAGTAAGCTGCGCTCACTCCCATTGAAGTCTGAAAGGTGCCGTCCACGCACGCCTCTACGCTACTTTGATCTTCTAATAAACGGCTGCTCAGCATTCTCTGTTTTCGCATGTCCCCTAGCAAAACATGCCTGCGACGCCTTCCTCCACTCCGCTCCTCATTCTGTGCTCGCGTCCTCGACAGTGAAGGCTGTCGAGGCCGCCGCTCGCCGTTCGTTTTTTCAGTTGCCCTTCACCTCTCGAATGCTTCATCGTACACAGCTGTAGCGTTTACGTTTGCCATGGCGAAAGTGAACAACTACTGGCATAAAATCTAACACGATGCTTTGATTGGTCTAACAAAACCGATGCCGCTCTCGCTCCGCGTATCTAATGCTAAGCAGCAGTGGTATACTTGCAAAGCGAACGAATGACCTGCAGTGTTCGTGTAACGCGGACCAGCATTTGGATCACTTCATTTGCTCTTGAGAGCGAGCGATCGCGCTTCTACTGATAGATGGCAATTTGTCACGCTGACCTTAGGAGGAAGGCCAATTCTGTGGAAGCGTCGACCAAGATCGGGATATCTCGACTGAATGCGCTCCTTTGTCCTCGCCTTTGCGCGATCCAACCTTCCATAGTAGAACGTCGGTGCTGCCAACTCCACCACAGCTGTGGTAGGTACGATGTTCAATCCAAGTTTCTTGTCAACTAAAGATGCACCAGCTTCTGATAGGTAACCCTGCAACAGATTATAGTGAAGTGAAATGACGTCCCATAGTCCTAAAAGGTTTTATTTTTTTATTTGTTGCTTAAAGCGTAAGGTTGATTCATTTTCATTGCAGTCATCCTCGAACGCGGGCGAGGAGCGGAGGAGACGGAGAATAGCGCTGAAATCACAGTTAGAACATGGTTATAATCGATGACAGCACGATAAGAGACTACAATAGGAAACGCATAAAAGCGCTGCGAAATTTTCGCGGCCGCCCGTTGAGTCAAACGAAGGGCCGCCCCTCTCCTGTCGTCGTCTGTGGGCAGGCCTCCATTTTGCATGTCGACTTCCTCGGTAAATCGATATGCAGTAAACAAGGTCCGGCCTCGATTGCAACCTCTTCATTGAAGCGGACTCATTCCCTCCAGACCCGTACGGACTGCTCAGTCTGCTTTCGAGGGATTAGCTAACGAAATGCACCGACTGGCGCTTGAGCCCCAGACTAGTAGCCACCAATGGCATCTGTATCCATTATGCGATGCACGCGCGTGGAACCTCCCGTAATTATTTCGTGCTACCTCGCGAAAACCGGTAATGCCTCGATTGTCGCAACAGTGCGACATCGCGCATTCGTAGCGCTCATCAAACATCTATATTCACACACTTTAAGACTTGCCTTCCCATCTATGTGCGTACCTTTGCAGCGCGCACGTACGTACCGTTCGATGAATGCTCGCATATCGACGCGAGAAAAAACAACGGGCTGAAACTAGTTATTTCTTGTCGCCTCAAAGCGCTCCTCGATTGGGCAGCAGTTCACCCGGACTAGGCAATCAACCAAATTTTCCATCATAACGCATGCCATCCTTGTCTCCTTTTCACAATTACTATGCGTTCCTTCCCTTCCACATGATTTTCACAAGTTATGTTTTTCAGGCCACTTGTTTGTTAGTTTCACCGCGGTAGCAGCCAGATAGAAATGCCCGTGTTGTTGTCCGGCTGCTACTCACACATTTAATCTGCTCTGCTTCAAATATGCGCTGAATTGTATAGCTTCAGAGTAAAAGCTCGCACTGAGTCATGCTTGACAATATCAATGCGACGCAATCTGGTAAGGGCTATAATTGATTTGTATGAGACCATCAGTGCTATACGGATACTGCTCTCGTACTTCTGCTTTGCCCCTGTTACTGACTATGATTGCCGCTTCGCCGGCTGACTTGGATTGTTTTTGCAAACGTCGCGTTGAAAAAAAAA